AAAAACCTATTTCTATTGTTTGATATTTACCGAAGATCAAGGTGAGTAATTATTGTAGCAGTTTTCAATGCTTCAAATATATGTGGAATATCATTATCTTGTATACGAAACTTAGCTAATGTTGGTTGATTACCATTTAAAGGTAATATACGATCGAAATTTCTAAGAAAAAAAATAATAAGAAGATTTTAATATGATAGAAAAAAAAGTGATGGGATGTATTTACTGATAAGCATATTCATCAATATAACGTAAAGAACGTTCACGTAAACTGGTTAATGTTTCGATAATACCTTGGTTAGGACGTTGTTTAGTTTTTATTGATGCTTGTTCATATTCTTTATTCACGTCTTTAAGCATAGTTTCGTTACAATTTCGATCAAACTCTATTATAAAATATTTTAATGTTAAAATTCAGCCATTAATAAAATGATTGTACATGGTAATGGACTTCTTTTTTGGCCGTTTTATAGAAAGATGCCACTATACAAAAGATCTAATAGAAGAATTTGATTTGAATAGAGATGTTCTAAATCAAAGTAATATAAAATAAATTTTTTAGTTTAGTTTTTTGATCATTTAGAATAATAAACAAACATGTGATAGTAATTCCTTCTAATAGCTTATCCTTACTTATTTACGCCAATCAGATCACATTCCATGTTTAACTCTTTTCAATCGAGTATTTTATAACGATGTAGACATATAAGTGTGACAAGCAATAAAATTAATTCTAAGATCAACTAACAAAATGGTACAAGTTTTAAATAAGAAAAATAAAAGAAAGGACTCTGTTGGATAAGATGACCGCGCTTCATTTGAAAAGTCACCTATACTATTTTGTAGAGCAACTCGTAGTGCATCGAATGATATGGAGAAAATTGCTTTTTCATTAAGATTTAATGTTCTGAGTAGTATCCTGCACAAGTATGATTTTTTGCACTCAGACTGAATCTCATTCACATCCAGCAGATACTTTCAATGTCATAGTACAGTTTTCAGACTTTTACTTTATATGAAAAAGTATACTGTTTAGTTTCTTCCATAAATAGCAACAGAAATAAAAAGACCATCTCAAACTCCACGAACAAGCAAGTGATCCAAGATTCACATGGTATCTTTCGGCTTCTAAAATCGGATCGATTTCGCTACGTATATGTGTCAGGCAAAATTGAGATTTAGGCAAAATTAAACAAAGCTATTAAAAGACTTGAAATTTTAAAAAAGTTAAAAAACATAAAAATAAATAGTTGATCCTATAAATTTAAGTTAAGTTATATTCAACTTTAATTGAAATTTAACTCAGTTTAGGAAGATGTAGAGTTCGCCACTTTTTTTAATGCAAATCTAATTAAAACTTAGGAAGATG